TTATCAGTCGATCATTATACACCATTCGATAGCCCTTTTCAAGAGCTACATGTCTGACGGTTCAAATTTGAAAAAACTCATTTTCGACTTTTTGGCCAAATGTCCGCGTGAATGCCCACTGTGCCTTAGCTATTGTACAAATGAGCTTGATAGTGACAAAGATATGTAAAATGGGCAGTTTTAAAGATCGATTTCCTCATTCGATACTTCTCGAGATTTTGGCGCTCATAAATCAATCATGAATATCGTGTCAAGCCATCACATCATGCTTTCAGCTTTATGGCAGCTTCAACTTCAGATTTTCTAGAGCCCAACGGTTATGAACTGAAGTACCTGAAGTTGGACAAGAAATTCGATCTTTAAAATTGACCAGTTTTCATACCTTACCGACTTTTGAGCTCATTTGTACAACAGCTAAGGGCCCTGTGCGAAAAGAATTCATAGCTTATGATAGAGATGCAAAATCTCGAGAAGTATCGAACGAGGAAATCGATCTTTAAAACTGACCATTTTACATATCTTCGTCACTATCAAGCTCATTTGTACAATAGCTAAGGGTTTTGTACGAAATGAATTAAAGATCAAATTTAGAATGAACTTAAAAATTAAATTAATGAAGAAAACATGTGTCGTATCTTGGATTATTTATTAAAGTATGTTAGTGGTCCCTGTCTTTTTGTCGCAGAATGACTAAAGGAGATCAGCCTTGTTGCTCGTAGGTACTCCTAGCATTATTCTATGAGGCGTTATATTAAGCGGCATGCATGTCTCATAACACTTTATAAACAAGACAAATACATATACGCGTCGTATTTATAATTTTAGCATTGTTTTCTAGAAAAACTTCATTTTCGGTTGTTGATCCCTTTTGCGTTATTTTAACGTTTAACGCAAAAGGATTTTCGATATATACTCGATACGATTTTTAATTTCTTCAGGTTTTAAAGAATTTAAAGATGACTGGATAAACTTTGAAAATTCACTTTTAAATTTTTGAATTATTTCAATAGTTTTATCTTCTGGAAGTTGATCTTGAATAGAATTCAAAATGGATGTTATTCGATAGTTTCAACAAACCAGAGCTTAAGTTTTTCAATATTTTCTTTACTAGAAAAGTCTTGTCTAAAAAAATTATTTTTCAAAAATTTTTTCAAAAAAAAAGCCCATTGGCAAGCAGTAGCATTAAAAAAGGCATGCAATAAACTATCTTCGGACATCGATCTTTGTTTTGGACATTGAATAAGACAAAGTTTATAAACACACTGATCCAGCACTCCAGTAAACCAACTTAACATTTCCAAATTAAGTTTTTCATAAGCAGAATTCATCACATAAATATATCTTACGTAATAATTAATTCTATGGAGTCTTTTACTTTCAATTAATAAAGTAACATAATGTTTCTTTGATAGTCTTACTACACAAGCAAAATTTTTGTCCGAATCGGATTTAATTTGTTTTTTAAATAATTTCCATGATCACTTTTTCTAAGATCATAAATTCTGATTCCTGTATTTAATGAACATTGATTTTCATAATCAATTTTCGATATTGATTTTATAAAATGATTTTGAGTTGAATTTTCATTATCTTTAGTAAATATCGTCAATAAATGAGTTAAAATTTGAACTTCTTTATTAATAAATTTCTCACACTTTTCTTTTCTAAAATCATCTGGGAAAATATCTTTTAAATCGATCTCTAGAGGGCGTAATTCATTTTTCTGATCAACAAAACCTTCTGATACTCTACCGTCAGCTGTTTCTCCATAAAAATACCATCGATTTAAATTTATTTCGGTAGCAACTTTCTGTAATACACGTCTGTCTTCCTCTTGATTAAAAGTAAATTTTTTTATCTCTTCCATTACTTTCTAAATTAATATTTTCAATTTTAATACTCTCTAGGCCGTTGATTCTATCATCTTTAAGCCAAAAACTATCCTTTAAAAAATAAGCATTATAATCGGAACTATCTGGCGCCTTTGTCAAAACAATTACATTATCAGGGATTTTAGGAAGATATTTTTCATTAAATTCTGATATGAAATAAAAATCACATTCAATTAATAATAAAAGATACTTCTTTTGGCAACTTATCTTGTTTCAACTTATCATTTTCTTTATACCAATCTTTTAAGAACATTTCTTGACCATTTTGATTAGGACAAACTTTCCAATCAATATCATAAGTAGAGTTCATAGAACGTTTTAAATTTTTCACTTGATCAATATAAGGAAGAATATCTAGAAAAAATTCTTGTTCATTAATTCTATCGTTTAATTTTTTAACACCAGAGTGTGAAGAAATAGGAAATAAACTTAAAGAAGATTTATCATTTTGTTGTTTTTCAGCTAATTCCGATGATTCTATTTCTGATAAATTATCATTGATCTTATAGAAAGAAGAAATTCGATTTAGAAACTTATGCTTTTCTTTTAAAAAATAGCTAACAGCTCGACGATAACGTTGTTCAAGAGGATAATGTCCTATAAAGTGATACGCCTTTATCAATGACTCACAAAAATGGATAATTTTAGTTCTTTTACTTTTTAGATTAAAAAGAATATTTTTTATATTGAGATTAATATCAACGTTTAATAACGTATCTTTGTCTGTCAACATGCCGAGTAATTCACCAAGAGAACGATTAGTAGCTTTATGATGGTGAGTATGTTTTAAAAATTCGTACAAAATTGGACTCTCGGAAATTTCGAGTTTAAAGGATTGTTTTTGTAAGTCTGGCATCCAGAACCAACTCTCCCAAGGATTCTTGTTGTTTCACAAAGACGCGCAGAAACACTAGTAGAAATGCTGCAAGAAGAACTTTCTAAGTCGCTTTTCGCAGTCATTTTTTCTAAGAATTGATTTAAGCTCGGGTCCAGACAAAGTTGATAAGAAGCTAATTTTTGAGGATTACAATATTCGTCATAAAATTGTGCAGTTTGTTGAAAAACATGTTGATGATTTATAGGACGGATTCTCTGTCTCTACGGATATCTCTCGTCAGAACGAAGACGACCTCCTTTTAACTTATCTAGTTTTCCTGATGTAACTGTAGCCTTTAAAATGTGAATGTAATTAATTATTGCTACGTAATGCAGACTCTCAGAAATTTCGAGTTTAAAGGATTGTTTTTGTAAGTCTGGCATCCAGAACCAACTCTCCCAAGGATTCTTGTTTTTCACAGGATTATAAACAAATAAAATTGCTCTGTTGTTAGAAGTATTGTGTAATTTTTGCCATTTTTCAAATTCTATACCGTAATCCGATTCATTTTCGGGTTCTTTTATTGAAAAATGTTGTATATCATCTTCTTGTATCATAAACCAGTTTCAAATTCCATAACTTGCCTTAACTGCACAATTAGGTCTTTCCTTAAATCATATTCACTTAATTTATTCGCAAAATCTTGTCGATTTGTATTTCTTAATAGATCTATGAAGATAATTGTGAAGAACCTAGTGAACAATCTCTTTTGAAAACTGGATGTTACTTTCTTGCACAATTAGAAGATATTCTTGCTCGAAATACAATAGAAGAAATTAATTGAAACAAAATTTCGAATTTCAATTATACTTATCTTTAGAATTTACAACAAGAAAAAAAAAAATTTATTAGGTTGGAAATATCTTGAAGATCAAAATCGAGCGTTAGATGAAATATTAATTGATGATAAAGGTCTAGAAAATAGTAGTATCTTATGAAATTTATTAAAGACTTTTCTAAAGGTATGCAGAGAGAGTGTTTAAGACATTATTGGTTAATATGCACAACGAAAACATTGAACCGTGTCCAAGAATTTTCTCATGAATTTCTAAGAGTAACAGAACAAGAGCTTTTAAATATTTTGCAGATACTTCGAACAGTCGCTGATAATCAACTTGAACAAATCGATTATAAACTCAAACTTGCATCTATAGTAAAAGAATTTCCATTTTATCATTTCGAACCGACATTATATCCTAATAATAGATCTCAATTAATAGAATCAATCAATAACTTTAATGAAATGAGTAATCAAGTGAATTTTCTTGAAACTTTTAAACATCTTTCAAATTCTTCATTTTTTAATGAAAATCAAACAAATTTATTACAAAATTTATTCACCGATGCCGATCAATTAGATATGGTTAACGGTTTTCTTTTCATTTTTCAACAAAAGTTAAATTTAATAAATATGGACGAAAAACATCTTGATACCTTAAGAAAACAGATCGAGAAGATAGAACACGTACTTATTCAAATTCCTCGATCCTATTTATATGACATTACCTTCAATTTTTCTGTTGCCGTAGGAAAAATCAAAGTAAATCACTTCATAACCCCTGATAAGTTCGACGTTTTAGATATAATATATCAATCCAAAAGTCGAAATCACTTACTAAATTTTCATCCTTCAACACCATATGAAAAGAAAAACTTTATATATACAATTGAACAACAAATAGATGCTTTTAATACATTATATGATCCAATATTAGTAGAAGAAATATTTAATAAGCTAGAGAATTGTTAAGACATCAATAGTTGGTGTGAAAATAGAAAAGTCAAAAATAGAAAACACAATCTCGAACGTTTTGAACATAACACAATAGAAAATATTTTACAAAAAATAACAATTAGTGATCTTTGTAACGCACTTCAATTTTTAAGGATAATTTTTGATTATAAACAAACAAAATTACAAATTGAAAAACAGGAAGAAAAAATTGAATCAACCAAAGTAAATAAAGAAAATTATAATTGAATATACAAATACAGACACATTATTAGGATAATAGAAAAAACAGTCGCTTATCTACCCACGATTAAGTATTTTGGCACAAACACTATACGGTGTCCCCTCATAGTTCAGCAACAGTTGGTTTAGTTCAAGCGGAAGAATATTAAAAAAAAGACGCCAATCGAGAAGTGATACTGTTGACGATCTTTTATTTTTAGGAAATTTTAGAAACGTCTAAACGTTCTTTTCCTATTTTTTCATTCGTTGTTTTGATTTAATTACAGTCTAACGTATTTATTTTTCTCAAATAGACTTACAAAGTTTTGCGGATTGAAATGAAAAACATTATATAATAGGTTAGGTTAGGATTAGGTTACCAAATTTTTTATAGGTTAGATTATAGGTTGCCAAAACGTCACAATCTGCAGGGGTCTGGATGGAACACGATATTGGTGTAAAAACTCAACACTATCGCGATAAACACCCTCTTTATCGGAATAATTTCAATATATCGATATATTGAAATTTCAATATTTTCAATATATCGATGAGTACTATTGAGATAAGGTTCCTGCCTATTACAATGAAAATACGTATCTCGACACATTTTTTTTAAAGTCATCGAGATAGAAATTTTATCTCGATATAGCCTTTACTTATCTCACTAAAAGGGTATCCATGTAGAATGCGATAAAATAAATATCACCTTACTGCAGTAAGTCATTCACTATTGCGACAAGAGAAATGTTTATCGTGACACGAAGTTATATCTCTATATAGTCATAAGATTCTATCGGACTGTGTTGAAATATAACTTAGTTTATCGGTTATATCTTGTTAAATCCAAATACAAATGACTCACTGATATATTTCTATAATTTGCTTTCAGCGTGCAATAAAATATCTATTTGGATCGGCAGCAAATCAACTGAACTTAACTGAAGTATTGAATAAATTAACTGTAAATCATTCAATGGTCAAAGGAGGGGAACGAGTTAGATCAACAACTACCGAAATTAACTGATTTTGTTTCTAAGACATATAAATTACCATCATCTTCGAAACAACTATATCCAGTTAGTCATGGGAGAAAGCAAGAATTACACAGCGCTATTGTTCAAGATTTAGTAATTGAACTTGGTCGTCCATTGTCATTAGTAAAAAGACGGTACAAAAAGTTATATTTCCCACACAGGGTAGCACAAAGAACAAGAAAAATTACAGAAAAGATGAATTTCCTTAAGATACAGTCGGCGGCGGTCATACTATTATATGTCGACTACGGTACCACTTTACCTTGTACAACAACAGCTTCTTCTTTCATAAGAACAAGGACTCAAAAGACTGCGATTATCTCAGAAACAGCTTCTGATAAAGATTCTACAAACTTAAAACTCATGGAAAAGACTGATCAGCAGATTGTTTACTATTTAAAATAAAAACGGTTACTGGCAGCTCAGGTGTTATATCTTGTTATATTCGTCATGCATCTATTGAGCGCCAGCATTTCTAAAATCCATGAATGCAGTTGATTCAAAATTTACTCTAGCAACTACTAAATAACTGAGTAGACAAGTCATTTCTGATTTATGCGAAAAAATGGTTGTTGGTTTGAAAATATTCTGCACATAAGCAAAATGCATGCCATTAACGCAAGATATAGGGATTGATTACCGAATGACAACTTTTTTTGCTGTGTGTAGAATGAGCTGAGAATATTCTTTAAGAATCTACTCTGAGATACTGTTGAGCAAATGATGTACACGATGAATACCCAAGTTGAAATGACGAACGATGAATCAGAGATTATTGATAAATGTTTGCTATCAGATGTTTGATTGATGATCATGACTGAGAAGTAATTCGTATTCTACACACGATCATACAATAACTAGCAATCGAAACTTCCATCTTTGATACTGCATTCTAATGAAGGCTGAAATACAACACAAAAACGTCGTCTGTATTAGCTTCATTTAATAATGTTCTTTAAAATGACATATTCTTTTTAGTTTCTTACATTCGTTAGAGTAAAAGGTCGTGGATTAGTACTGAGGTATCATGATATACTTAACATTACATAGTATGAAATTTAAAGTGATTTAAAATGACCTATCTTCGAATAAAACATATGTCTATGCCTCTATATAATACAATTGCTCTTTTTTACATAAAAATTGAGTTGATCGATCAATCATGCTTGTGAAACAGTTGTTACTGTTTATTATTTTGCACATATTTTTCTCTAATGGACAACAACCAAAATTAACGCTCGACGAATTTTTTGAATATGTTGAGTTCACTACATTGGCTTTATCATCCGATGGTCAATCCGTCCTCATTTCTTTACAGCGACCTAACTGGAACGCAAGTATGTATCGAACAGAATTATATTTGTATGAAAATAATGGACATACAAAAAAATTATTGGCTGAATTTTCTCCCGGTCTGATTAATCCTCAATGGTCACCCTCGAACAGATGGATTAGTTTTCCATGCGGAAAAAATTCAACAAATGAAACAAAAATCACATCTGGTGATGATAATAAACAATCACAGTATATTTGTTTATATTCAACAATTTCACAAGAAATATTCAGCATATCTCTTGGTGAAGAACTAATACTTGCATTTACATGGGCAGCTGATAATAACGACGACAGTTTTTATTACGTTACACAAACCCCAAAAACTGATGACGAAGAAAAATTATATAAAAATGAATGGAAAGATGTTATTCAATATCGAGAATCCGAACGAGGTGATACAATTTATCGTGCTTCAAACATTGAAAATGGAACAATTACAAAAGAAATTGTTACAACGATAGCATCATTTGGTGTTTTAGAATTAATTGCTTCACCCAATGGTGAACAACTTGCACTTGCCTCTAGGTCAAAGTCAGGACGTTCCGAAAAATATGACGATCTCGAAATCTATACCATAAATCTTCTGAATTCTTCGCCTGTACCGTATCGACTCACGAATAACACTGGGCTTGAAGTACTACTGCAATATACAAGTGACAGTCAACATCTTTTTTTTCTCGTGTATGCTGGCGTAGGTTCAGTTTATCACGAAAATCGGAGTTATCAAACGAGATTATATTCAGTTGATACTAAAACAGGTATTGTTCAACGTTGGGCGAAACATTTTCCAGGAAGTATAACTCGTTATGCTCTTAATCCAGATGTGATTATTTTGGGACAAAACGGAACTGAAGTTCATATGTATACACAGAAATCAGTTGATGATCCATTAATAGAGCAAAATGGATGGAACGGAAGTTATGAACAGATTGTTTCATCAGCCAATAGTTCTTCAATTGCTTTTGTTCATTCATCTTTTGATCAACCGAAAGAAGTTTATTTTATTGAGAAAATGGATCAACTTCAATATGCAGGGGCAATTACCGAAGAAAATAAATTGTTCAAGCAGCGACAATTACCTAAACAAAAAGTTTATCAATGGGTTAATTATGATGATGGAAGACAAATTGAAGGAATTTTACATTATCCACCAGGAAAATTTGAACAAAAAAATCTTCCACTATTTGTCTTGATTCATGGTGGTCCATTTGCAGCAGACATGAATAATTTTCAAGCCGACTGGTACAGTTGTAGCCGAATGATAGCAACAGAAGACTGGCTAGTTTTAGAACCAAATTATCGGGGCTCTACGGGTTATGGTGATCTATTTTTAAGTGAAATTTCAACCAATATGGTTTCATTACCTGGTGCGGATATCTTATATGGTGTTGATAGTTTAGTTCGAGATGGTATTGCTGACGGAAGGAAACTTGGAGTCGGTGGCTTCAGCTACGGTGGTTTTTTAACGAACTGGCTAATTACACAAACAACCCGTTTTAATGTTGGATTAACCGGCGCTGGAGCACTTGAAATGGTGTCAAACTGGGGCACAAGCGATTTACAAATATTTTTTGATTATCTTCTTGATGGTAAGCCTTGGGAAGTGCCAGAGGGATATCACGCCGAATCGGCAATCTACCGAATGAATAAAATTCGTACACCAACTCACATGATAACTGGAGAAATCGACATTCGTGTTCCTACTAGTCAAAGTTTTTTAATGGAGCGTGCTTTATATACTCTTAATATTCCACATAAATTATTAATATTTCCAGGTGCAGGGCATGCATTTACTAATCCATGGCACGGAAAAATAAAAATTCGAGAAGAACTCAAGTGGTTACACCAATATGGCAATAAATCAGTCCTTAGTTGAACTAAATCAGTTTTTCTGCACCTCAGTTTAGATTCGTTTGTTCCGAGAGCCCAGAATTTTTCAAAATATATTTATGTGTATATATTGTTATGTATGTCCTACGGTATGAAACTTGATGCTCAAAACACATTCTTTGCTTATATTTATATATATTATCAGCTAGGCTCTTGAGTTTGCGTTGCATCAACAAAGGAAGGGTGCTTTAGTAATCCAGCTGGAGGGAAATATAAAAGATAAACGCTTTTAGAATTAAAAAGATAAGTTTATGTTCCGCTTTTTTTCTTTAGCCTCATACGACAATATTCACAACCAAACGATTTGCACATTTGTCTTTCATCCAACTGCTAGAACGTTTTTATAAGGCGTACAGCGAAAATGACGTTTTTTTCTACTATGGTGCTTTTCTAACTATGATTCGAAAATGGAAGGAACTTACAACAAAACCACCATCGCTTTGTTTAAAAAAGAAGAAGTTCTATATTCAGAAAAGAGCTCAGAATCACTTTAACAGGGAATCTATTATCGCAAAATCGACTTTTTATACGCTGAACAAAAACGGTCCAAATCCTAGCGAATGAATGTCGTGTGCAATCCCTTATCGCATGAATAAACAGATACTTTTGCTGCCCGTACATTCATTCAATAGGATTTGGACCGATTTTGTTCAGCGTATAAAAAGTCGGTTTTGCGATAATGATTTAAAAATACCATTGACAACTAGTCGACGCATAGAAGCCCTCTTTTGTCGTTTAAGAATAGATTTTTCACAGTTAAAATTTTATCTCTTCCAAAGAAAATGTGTTACATTTCCCTGCTACTTTCACTGTTTATCTCTGTGTCCACCAGTGTCTTTTAAAGAAGACTGTAATTATTTTCCATTTGATTTCTCTAACTATTCTTCTCATAGAAACGTTCTGATTAATCAATTTAAAATACTAAATATTCTATTTAAGAAAAATGCTATTCTATTAAGATCATCCTTCAACAAAACTAATTATTTCAAAATATATGAAGCAGTATGTCAATTTATAACTAACACCGCCCATTTTAAATAATCTTCGCAATTCCATTGTGCTTCCAAAAGCTTCCATTTCGCGCTTACTCCTATGGCTCTGGCTTTTACGAATGGTATCTCAACTGAATGTGACTTTTCTCTCTCTTCTCGTATATGTTTTCTTCCCCGTCATCTTTACAGTAACGATTTCTTAGTCATGTATTAAGTAAACTATGAACATGTAATGTGATAATTGTCTCTATTTGTTCTGTATTTTATCGAAATAAAAAAGCTTATATAAAAAGAAATACTTCATATAACACAAACAAAGTGGTTCGACGACAGACAATCAACTCACCTGTTAACATCGAAAGTCTTCTTTGGTGCTGATCACCTGTATGAAGTGATCGAAGCAGTCAAGAACGACAATGAGGGTGATGGTCTATTCAGGCGTTTTTTGTTATCAGTACCTCGCCCGTACTGGCCATTGGTCGAAGAGATCAAAAGAATCGACTCATTCAATATGTGTCTGTCTTACCCCTAAATAAGAAGTACACAGATAGTTTTATGTGTTACACAATACAAATAAGATTTGGAAAGTCTGTTAGCATTCTAATGTTTCCCTGGCTTTTATAATTTTATCTGGCACTCCCAATAAGAGCACGGTTAAACATTTCGTCCTTCTTGTTCGACGAGAAGCTGAGTTGTCAGAATTATCTATTTCTACATATTGCTACTTCATTTCAGGAAATTGTCAAAAGAAAAGGCAAATCCGAGTGCACGACCACCTACGGAATACTTCACCAAAACAACTATTGATCTCAAGAAAGAAAGTATCCTTCTTCTTCTTCTTTCTTCTTTTATATTTATTGACAACAAACAGAAAGTAATAATAAAAGATGTTACATTGTGTCAAAGGAGGTACATCAAAAAGCATGAGGGCTTGTAACAACAACAACAAAAGAGT